GCAGAAAGCCTCATCTGTCTCCTGTGGAACAGCTGGTAGTTTTGAACTGCTGACCTTGCAGTTCGCAGCTCGATTTGTAGCCACTACATACCAGAGCTCCTTAGCCATCACATTAAGAGTGAGTTAATCAAATGACCAAACATCACAGGCTAATTTTTAAGTTGATAATTTTGTATGACCCACAAATGATAGCACACATTTTGGAAGAAAAAAGGTGAACCACCCCTGCTATGGAGTCTTGGTGTGGCACTGTAGGATAAGCACAGGACCACAAAGATGGTTTGAATCACAAGGTTGGTGGTTCAGATTTACCAGTTGCTCCTCAGAAACCCTATATTGGGTCATAATGAGTTGGAATGGACTGGACAGAACTTAACAACAACCCCTGCTATACATATAGGGTTGCTATGAATCCGTGCTATACATATAGGGTTGCTATGAATTGGAAGTGACTGGACACTTCTCAATGGGACTTGTTGTTACGTGCTGGTCGAGTCAATTCCAACCCATAGCAACCCTGTATAGGGTTTCCGAGGAGCAGTTGGGGAGCTTGAACAGCCAACCTTGCAGTTCAAACAGCTTTACAGTCTGGCGCATTAACCCACAGCGCCACACCAGGACTCCTAAGTGCCCATTATCTCTTGCCTGGATTGATGCTCCTGTCTGGACTTTCTGCTACCCCACATACACACACTATCCAGTCTCCATGTTGTAATACTGATCATCTCTTAAAACTGCCAATCTAATCACATCAACATCTGCTGAAACCTTTCAATAGCTTCTCGATGCTCTTGCAATAAAGACCAAACCCTTAGCATAGCCCAGCAGATTCTGTGTGGTCTAGTGCTTTCTACCTCTGGCACTGTTGTTCCTTGCTCTGTGTTCCAGCTACACTGGCTCTCCTTGTCACAGGGCCATTGCACGTGCCTGGACTCTCACTCCCCCGCCTTGATAACTCCTACTGAAGATCTCAGCTCATCATCTCTCTCAGATTCACCTTCTCTGACCTCCCTGTGCACATATTTCTTATTATTTACTTTCCTAGCACCACAAGTCTATATTCATTTGCTATATATGTAGTTATATATTTGTTTGTAATATTATTTACTGAATGCCTGTTTTCTCCACTAGACTGTTTGCTCACTTGAACATCTCCAGCACCCATACTATCTGGCACATAGTAGGTGCTCAATACATGTTATTTGAAGGAATAAGCAAGTTTATTTTATATACTTCTTTCCCTTTCTATTCACCCAAGTCTAAGACTCCATCGTATCTCACAGGGTCCCTAGTAGTCACTTTTAACTTATCTTTCCATTTATAATCAAGTCCCCTACCAATCAGTTCCCATCCAACAGCCAGAGTGATATGAAAAAACACCAGTTTGATTACATCATCCTTTCTGTCCTCTGCTTAATAGTCTTCAGTGGCTTCCCATGGCTCTTAGAATAAAACCCAAGTTGCTGACCACAGCCTTACAAGGTCTTGCATGGTCTGGCTCACCTCTCCCATGTCTTTAATTTAACAAATTTTGGTTGAGTGCCTCTTATGGACCAGGCATTGGGGATTCAGTGGTGAGCAAAAACACAACCACTGTCATAGGCCTTAGTCCTCTATATCCTTGAACATACTCCCTTCCCATGCAGGGCCTTTGCATGTGCTTTTTCTCCTGCCTGGTGCTTCTCTATCATTAGTATAGATTGAATTGCTTCCTCCCAACTCCATACATGTATTGGAATCTTAACCTCTTTACCTGTCGATGGAGTCCTGATGTGGCACTGCAGGATAAGCACTGGACTGCTAACTGAAAGGTTGGTGGTTCAAACCCACCAGCTACTCCTCAGAAACCCTATACAGGGTCAACTACGAGTTGAAACAGACTCCAGACTCCAAGGCACTTAACAATAACACACACTAGATACAACTGTGTTTGTTATGTTAGTTAGATCCATCTGAATCGGATGGGTTCTAAATCTAATTGCTTCTGAGCTATAAAAAGAGCAGATAGACAAAGAGGCACACAGGAAGGGAAAAGGAGCTGAGTAGGAGGGACAGAGGCCAAGTGGTTCTTCCCTCTCAGTGTGAATGTGAGCTGGAGGCTGTAGGAGATGGTCCAGAAGCTTAGTTCCTTCTCCACTCCACTCTCAACACACTTATTATCCAGCCTCTACCCATTCTCGAAGGAGCTCTGGTAGCATAGTGGTTACGAATTGGGCTACGAACCACAAGGTCAGCAGTTTTCTGTTCCACAAGAGAAAGATGAGGCTTTCTGTTCCTGTAAAGATTTACAGCCTTGGAAACCCTGTACAGGGTCACTATGAGTCGGAACTGACTCCACGGCACATAACAACAACCCGTTCTCTCCCCTTGGGTAGTTGTTGTTGTTAAGTGTCCTGGAGTCAGTTTTGTCCAGCGCATTAACTCACAGCACCACACCAGGACTCCTTGGGCAGTCCAAAAGTTTAATGCGCTTGGCTGCTAATGGATAGGTTGGTAGTTTGAATCTACCCAGAGGTGACTCAGAAGAAAAGCCTGGTGATCTACTTCTGAGAAACCAGCCATTGAAAACTTTATGGAGCATACATGGGATTGCCAGGAGTCAAAACTTGAAGGTCACTTATTTTTTCCTTTCACCACCTCTCCAACTCATCTAACGCCTTCTGCTATTTGTGATACACCCATAACAAAGTCCTGGTGTGGCACTGTGGGCTAATACATCAGACTGCAAAGTCAGTTTGAACTGCAAGGTCAGTGGTTCAAGCTCACCAGCTGCTCCTTGGAAACCCTATACAGGGTCACTATCGACTTGATGGCACTTAACAACAAGCTGGTCCCCACTCCTCTTCTGTTGACTCCTGCACATGCAACTCATCTGCTTTTTCCCATGGCTGGCTCCTCAGCCTCCAAGTCAAGCTTAAATGTTGTCTTTTTAGGGACATCACTTTCTCTGAGTTGATCTTTTCATCCAGTTCATTCTTTCATTGTATCTCACAAGTTGGATAGAAGTCCTTGTATGACTTAGAATGGTTTTGGCCACAGAGAACGTGAAGTCCAACTCACAGTGGTTTTAACAACAACGCAAATTATTATTTCAAATAATACAATTCAAGAGGTAGGGCTGGTTTTAGGGTTGCTTGATTCAGCAGCTCAGGGATGTTCTCAAAGACCCAGATTCTTCCTCATCTCTGCTCTGCCATTCTTGACATCGGTTTTGTACGATGGAAGAGCAATTCTAGGCATCACATCAGAAGTTTATCTGAGCAGGGTTTTTTCCATGTATATTACTTAACTATTGCTGTGTAACAAATTACTGCTACGAAACAAATTTAGCAGTTTCAAACATTTATTATTTCACAGTTTCAGAGGATTATAAATCCAGGAGCAGCTTAGCTGGTTGGTTCTGGCTCAGGGTCTCTCCTGAGGCTGCGGTCACGTTGTTGGCCAGGGCTGCAGTCATTTGAAGGTTTAACTGGGGCTGGAGGGTCTGCTTTCAAGCTTATTCACGTAAGCTTATTGGCAGGAGGCTTTAGTTCTTCGATACGAGAGCCTCTCCATAGGTTGCTTACAACATAGCAGCTGTCTTCATCCGGAGTAAGTGATCCAAGCATGAGAGAGCAACTGAGGCAGAGTGGATGTGGTGTCTTTCATAACCTAATCCTGGAAAGGACACCCCCCACACACATACTTCTGCTGTATTCTACTGATCGCTTCACTTAGCCCAACCCTGATGCAACATGGGAAGGAAGTACATGAGAGTATGAATGCCAGGAGGCAGGGGTCACTGGGGATCAGCTTACAGATGCTGCTGCCACATTGTGTTTCTTTTCTAAAGTGAAGAAGCCTTTCCTAGAAGCCCCCAAGAGGTTCTTTCTCTTCTTGTCTGTTGGTTGACATCTTGTCATTTACCCATGTCTAAACCAGCCATGAATGAAGGGTTTGAGGCCATTGTTTTGGCTGGAACCCACCTCCATTGAACACAGTGGATCATAGCCAGTTGAACAAAATCAAGGTTGTTTAGGAGGAGGATGGGGAGATGGAATGGACGTTGTGCAGGCAACCCACAGGGTCCATCATACTCATGACAACAGAGGTTATAGCTTTTCTTTGCACAGCCTCCCTGAGCATAGCCCACTACCTGGTACAGGATATGCAATGGTATTTATTATATGAGTGGGTTCATAATTAAACTGGAAGACCATACATAAGGTCACCTGTGCCCACCCTTACCGCCAGCCCCAAGGAAAGACAGGACTGGCAGAATTACTCTCACTTTATTTCTGGAGAAGTTTGATCAGATGCAATAACACTGATTCCAGGCAAGGGCAGGGGGCATGGGTGCCCCTAAAGCAACCAGTATCCTGTGGCCCAAGGTGACCCCCATTTCCAGACCTGGGTTCCCTCTCAGTTACAGTTAAATAGAGAGAGGAAGATCTCCCCAGGGAGCCTTGGGGGAGGGTCTGCCTCCTGCACCCGTCCCTCCATGAAGGAGTCTGAGCACAAGCTATTTACAGTATTCACATCCACTGTACCCCACCAAACCAAGGCAAAATACTACAGGCGGCCCTTCCCCAGAGGAGGAGGCCAGAAGAGGCTGTGAGTGTATGTGTGTGTATGGGGGAGGGTGTCCGTGCGTGTAAGCACACATGTGCACTGGGGGGCAGGGTTCAGCTCTGGCCAAAGAGACATCAGTCTATAAGGTGCAGATTAAAAACAACAGAGGACCCACCCCCAAGGGCCCAGGCCATTTCCGGCTTTGTTGTGTCTCTTTCTCCTCCGGACATCCTTGGGGACAATGCAGAGGAGCCATCAGAGCTGCTCAGGGTCCAATGTAACTCCTTAAAGGACTTCTGGGGGGAAAAGAGGGAGAGGACGCAGTCAGGACAAACTACTGGCTGGGGGTCTTAGAGTGGATTGTGGGGGGTGTCTCTGGGAAAGAAAAGAAGAAGGCAAGTCTAGGAAGGACAGGGAGGGCTGCTGGGGAGGGAGTCAGGGGTCCCTACCTGTGACCTGTGGAGCCTGCACCACAGCTTTCTTGAGGAAAGCTTCTGCCTCTGCGAAGGGCAGCAGTGTCTCTGGCGTTCGGCCTAGACTCTTGTCCCCTGGGGGCCCCTTGGGAGAGAAGCCATTCTCCTGATGTGATGGGAGAGGCTGCAGACCATTCACCAGGGACCCTGGCGACTCCTTGTTTGGCAGGCTGTGGATGGGGTGCCAACACTCAGTACCTCACATCCCAGTAATGCCCATGCCACCCCCAGCTCCCACCTGCTCTGCCCTCCTGGTATTCCTGGAACTAGAAACTGTTACCTCCACTGAATCTCCTGGGTGGCCAGCTCTTCTTTCTGCAGTGCTGAGGGGCGAGCCTCCACGGCTTTCACAGGGTCTGTGGCAGGGAAGGAATGCCCATCCGTTAGACGCTGGTGATAGAGATGAGGTTTGGGGATGCTGATGAGGGAAGGGGGGTTTTTACCTGGGTTGGAATCGTTGACTTTTGTTTCCTTGTCATCCTGCTTCTGCTTTGAAGAAGAACAGTCAGACTTAAAAGTTATCTGCACCATCAACGGAGGCACTTCATTCTTCTCTCCCTCAACCCAGACCCTGAACAGCTGACCCTGTAGCCTCCATCCTTTGAACTGGATGCCTTTTTCCAATCTCCTTTCCTCCCAACGCTGCCCCTTTGGGGAATCCTAACCTTGGTTTCAGCAGCTTCAGACTTCCGAGTCCTCTTCATGATCTCCTCCAGGCGCTGTCAGAAGCCCACACAAACCAAATTAGGCTCAAGCCCTGCCTTAACTCTCCCACGGCTCCTACTGCGTCACCCGCCGACCCCCCCCCCCCCACCTCATTCACGTCTCATGCCTTCAAGGTTCAATCCAACCTTTCCAAGGCCAGGAACCAGAACCTACCCCAGTTCCTCCTCCTTTTACCGGCTTCATGTCAAGGTGCCCCACAAAATCCATTAATTGCAAACCACACTTGGCTCAGGAGTGGACTCCGCCCACTCACGCCAGCCCCTACCCTATGGGTACCTTTCTGCGCTCTTTCCGTTCCTGCTCCTCCCGCCTGAAGTGCTTTTCCCGCTCCAGTCGCTGCCGCTCTGCTTCTTCCCGGGATCGAGCTTCAGCCTCCTCTTTCTGCCAAAAACTTGCGTGAGCTTCGGTTAACTGGTCTCCAGCCTTCTTTCGAGGCCACCTCCCAGCCCCGCTACCAGGAGATGATTGTGCCCAATGGGTACTGCCGCCCACCCATCCGCCCACCAGCCCGCATCCGCCCACTGGTGAGTGGCACCTGCTTCTGCAGACGTTCCTGCTCCTCCTGCTCAGCCTGTGTCTTCTCCCGGGCTTCCTGCTCCTCCCGCCTCTGGGCCTCGGCCTCCCGCTCAGCCCGGGCCTTGGCCTCCTGCGCTAACTGCTCCTCTCTCATTCGCCTGAGGGACAGAAGAAACTCGGGGCTCGGTTGTGAGTTTCTTCTCCAGCTCCCGTAAGGCTCCCTTCAGCCCCCAGGGACACACTCACTTGTCCCGTTCTGCCTGCAGCTTCCGCTCTTGCTCCTCGCGTTCCCGCTGTTCCCGGGCCTGGCGCCGCTTCTCAGCCAGGAGCCGAGTGGCCTCCTCCCGGTCTGTGGTTCCGGCTATGGGTTTGCTAGGGGTCACCGGGGGAGCAGGGGCTGGAGGTGAGATGAGAACAGCAGTTCCTGGAGTGGGTTCCAGGACCAGGAGTCAGCACATACCAGCATAGGGACCTCCACCACCCCTGCAGGTCACCCACCACCCAACTGCTGCCATCAACAGAGAGAGAGTGGTGAGGTTCTCACCTCTGGCCTGTGTTTTGGGCCAGGACCCACAGAAGGCAGAAGCCTCCTCTTCCCATCTGTCAACAGGCAGTCCCCGATTACTCCTGCCTACCTCGATGTCCCCTGGATTCACGCCTACCTGCGGGGCTCTCCACTGTGGGCTGCTCCTTCTGGGGCTGGGCTGGGACCGGTGAGGGCACAGGCGAGGGTGCTGGTGAAGCTGGGCCTGCTGGCTCCTCGTCACTGGCCCTGCCCTTGTTCTGGTTCTTGTCCTCAGGCCCTGCTGCACTGGGACTGTCCTTTGATTCATCCTTCCTCCGAATGCGCCCTTTGGGTGATGCAGTGATGCCTCGGGGGGATGGTGGCTTTGGGGACAGAGCGTGGCCTGGCCCAGGGCTGGAGCTGGGGCAGGGAGAGGCAGGCCTGTGCCAGGAGGTGGATGGAGATGCTGGGTGGGCCTTGGATTTGGGACTGAGATTAAAAGGAAGGGTGAGGCTTTAAGGATGCCAGAGAGCTCCCCTCAACTCACCCTCCCTAAATATGTCACTTCCTCAGGGAAGAGCTGCTCCCCACACTAGGTCAACAACCCACACCCCGATGCCCTCACAGAACCATATAGTTCAGTTTATAATTATTCTTTTGTGAGGTTCTTCTCATGTCTGTCTTTCTAGTAGTCAGTAATTTTAATAACAGCAAGAACTAGGTTTGGTTTAGCTCACCAACGTGTCCCCAGCACCCAGAACAGTCCTGGCAGGTCTACTCATTCATTCCGCAGATATTTATCGAAGGCTTATCAGGTGCCAATCACTGTTCTTGGTGCTGGGGTACTTTTGTGATCAAGACACTAAAAATTATGCCAACTTTTCCCTCAAAGAATTGCCCTTCTAGAGGTGGGTGCCCAACAAATAACTTGTGAGAATATGAATGTTCGGCCTGGGGTCTATAGAGCCCCGCCCCCACCTCAGGTCCCACCCTGGCGTGCCCACCTGAGCTCAGAGGTGGGGCCCACCGAAGGCCTTGGCCGCAGCGAGGCGGGCAGTGACTGGCGCTTCTTGAGGCTGCGCTCCCGGGCGAGGGCGCTCTTCTCCTTTTCGTTTTCCCTCTCCTTGTCCTTCTTCTCCTTTTTCTGCACCTGCCACGGTGGGGCAACAGGAAGATGTGACAGGGAGCAGTGGTCAGCGGCGACTGTGTTTCCAGTCCCCCACCTTGAGCAGATGCTCCGGCAACCACTCACCGGCGAGGCCTCGGGCCGACGGCGGGCCGGGGCAGGGCTGCCCACTGTGCTGGGCTTGCGGCGCTCCCCAGCGGGGGCGCAGCGGTGCACGTTCCGGGGGGCGCTGCAAGACGTCAGGGGGCTGGCAGAGGCCGAGCGTGGGCACACAGGCACGGCTGCGGAGGGATGAGTGCGATCGGGGTGCGGCCCCGGTGCAAGGCTGGCCCTTGCCCCGCCCCTCGCGGGTGGTCTCCCAGGGCCGCTGCCCCTACCCTGGTCCCGGCCATTGCGAGGCAGTGTGACTGCACTGCGACTCCTTGCCAGGAAGGAGAGGGTGGGCGTCATCAGACGGTCCACAATGCTGCTCTCCCATGGGCTCAGCTGTAGGCTCCGATCTGGGGGGAGAACGTTGTAGGGAATCTGGTCACTTCAGGCGTAGCAGGAGGCAGGCAGAAGCATAAGAAGCTGGCTAGGTACATTTGCCATGCCAGGTCCCAAGGCTCTCACCCGGATGGAGGCTGCTCCCCCAACTTACGCGGGGGCCATATTTGTCCACACTGGGGCCTCTGGGGCCTGGACCTCCACTGCAGACCAAGACAAGACACTTGCCAGGACACCATCCTACCACTCTCCCCAGGTAAAAGGGCTCCAATTGTGGGTATAGGGAGGAACCACCGCATAGTGATGGAAGACTCAAGTTTCACTATAGGGCCTTGCCCCTCTTGCTCTCAGAGGACCAGCCTGGAGGAGGCATGCCCCCATGGATTTGGGACAGTGAGGGTCCCTGTGTTCTGATTCAGGAGGGACCCAGCTCTTAGAAAAGTCCTGTGCCAGAGAAAGACATCTAGAGGGCCTGCCTGTCCCTGGCCACCCTGCTCTGTCCTCTCAGCTGCTGGGTTATTTTTAAGCCTAAATCAGGTGGGGTTGGTGCAGCAGCTGATTTCGTTGCTAGGCAACGGAACAACCAAATAAAAGCTAGAGGAGCTTATAAATAACTCCTACCATGGCTCCTTTACATGTGAGCACCAGGGCATGGTGGGAGGACAGGGGCTATGCCACACTGGAAGGTCACAACTCTGGAGCCAGCCAAGACCATGGCTGGGCTCTGGAGGTAGAAAGGACCCTTTAGGGTGGAGCCACAACACAGGACCCACACATACACAGCCCCATACGGGAAGCAAAGCCATCTGCTGGTGGTTACGGATGAAGCTGTCTGCCTGGTCCCACCCCCAGCCTCCACCCCCAGGCTTGCTCTGAGGCCCCTTGCCAGGTTCTCTGTTTGCTGGGGCATTGCCCTTTATCTCTCTTCTTTGCAGGGCACAGCTCTGTCCTCAGGATCCAGACCCAAATGCCGGCTCCCCCGAGGGGCACAGAGCCCTGAGTAGGGTAGAATGGGAGTAGAGACCTGCAGTATATCAGGGCTCTGGTGACTTGTGGTTCTTGCTAAGCTCTGGTGGACGCTTGGTGGGGACTACACAAGGGGCTCTAACGGGGAAGAGCTGGGCCTTCTCTTACTTCTACTGGGGGAGTTCCAGAGCGTGGCTGAGGACTTTGAGAGCCGCTTGTTGATTATAGAGTCCACGTGTTTGGGCAGGTTTACTGCCGACACGGAGCACCTGCTCCCACCTGGAGGGGAAAAGACACGGCATTAGGGCCGGGCCAGAGAGGAGCCAGGGGGGCACTGAGGCCTTCCATGCAGGATGCTCCGAGGGCAGGGTGGGAGGGGGAGGAGTGGGCAGGCTAGGATGGGAAGGAGGGGCATACCTGGCCCTGGAAGGGGTAGGGTGGGGTGGGGTGGGGATAGGTGACAGCCTGGGTTGGGGGAGCCGACGGAGAAGGAACAGAGGGTGATAAGAGTAAAACTAGAGAAACTACAGCCTTCCTGGCCAGAGGAAGCCATTCCCTAGGGCTGGGTGCTGCAATCTCTCCACCCCCAGCTGCCCAGCACTGGCACTTGCTGACACTGTCCAGCCAAGGCGCTATGGATACAACACCCACATCCTCAGACAAATGCAGAGCCGGTCCTGAACAGAAGTACCCACACAGTCAGAGTCACAAATACAGATACTCATACTGATACACAAAGAGAAATACATGCAGACACAAGCATAGCCAGTGATAGATACGTATGCATGCACACATGTGTGCAGACATGCACAGATAGAGACACACAAACACATCAAAGCTACCTAATTATTACATTGGTAAAGAGCTACCATTTGTTGGGAGCTTACCATGTGGCAGACACTATCCTGGGCCACATACTCATTACCTCATTTGATTCTCCCAAACCCCTACAGACAACCTCAGTTGTTATTAAGTTGATTTGACTCATAGCAAACCCATGTGACAGAATAGAACTGCACTATAGCGTTTTCTTGGCTGTAATCTTTATGGAAGCAGATTTCTAGATCTTTTTAAGAATAGGTGTGTTTGAACCACCAACCTTTTGTTTAGCAGCTAAGTGTCTCCCATTTGTGCTACCAGTGCTCCTTAGAGGCAGGTAATTCCCAATTTATAAATGATGAAAGTAAAGTGTTGAGTTAAATGACTTACCCAAGATCACATAGCAAGGGTTAGAGCCGGGACCCTAACCCAATTCTGTCTGACTTGGGAGCCCTCGCTGAGATACAGAAGGTCACAAACACATCAAGGCAGACACATACTAAGACACACAATGCACAAGTTCACAAGCACATACACCAAAAGACACCAGCTAGAAATACCCAGCTAGATCCAAACACAGTGGTACATACATGCCAGTTAAGAATCAGACCAAAATCCATGAAAGCCCTATGTAAAGAAACTGAGAGACAGAAATCTACCCTCCAAGATACAGGCATAAGGGCCTCCAGAGCAGTACTGCCTTCTTTTATGTATTGTCAACTAATAATAATTGACAAGATCAAAGAGGGCTAATCCAAAAATGACATGAGATTTGAAAAGCAAACCAAAATGAAGAGAATGCATTGTCTGACGAGCTAGTAGAAGTCCTCAGGGAGGGACAATTTGCTGTACAGACCATTCCAGAAGCAAGGCACACCAGCTGCAGAGAGCCCCTAGCTTCTTGTACTGAAGCTGCTCTCTTCCCCACTCCCCAAACCCCAGCCTTGCCCACCGACCCACAAGCCCCTGTGCCCACTCACTGGTCTTATGTCCCGGGGAACTGTGGTGCAGGGCCCCTGCCCAGGACCAGCGCTGCTGCCGGATCTCAGCCCACGTCTTCTTCACTGACCGCTGGATAGCGGCTTCATAGCGCTCCTGGGAGAAGTGAAAAGAGAGGAAAGGTCTGGGCTTGGAATCACTCATCAGATCTGGAAGAAAAGCCCCTTTCCCTCTTGTGATATGCACAGCCCCCAACCCCATCACCAAAAGCTTTTCCTGACTCACCATAGGTAACCAAGGTTACCAAACCCTATGATTTGCAATAGACCCCTTCAAATTTGTTTTAGGGAGTTTATTAGTGTTCTTAAATCATTTCCTGATTATATGAGCTGTTGCTCTGAGGATGGGGTAGAACTCCCCTCAGCCTGGGACCCCAGGCAGGGTCATGTCCTCCTGGCACCCCTCAGGCTGAAGCCCCATGTCCTTACTAGTGCTCAAGCCAGGGCTCTACTCATGTTGGGGGGCTAGACATGCTTCCCCACACATACAAACAGAGACACTGGGGGCACATATGCAAACACATGTATGAACACTGCACAGTTACAGATACTCACACCGGCACATACAGAACAGATTCATAGGTGCAAACACAGAGGGGCATGATGTAGACACTGATGAGTACACATACATAATTCAGAGTCAGGGACACAGATGTGTACACACTTAGCCAGTATACAGATGTTGTGTACACACTCAGCTAGTATACAGATGGTGTGGATACACACGTACATAGATCTGCACATACCCAGTCAGAAATCAGCATCAGCGTACCTTGTTTTTCTCGAGTTTCTGCCGCTGTCTCTCCTCCAGGGCCGCGCGGCGCTGCTCAGCTTTAAGCCGCTGCTCCTCTAGCCGCCTCCGGCGCTCCTGAAGCTGCTTCTCTCGCAGCGCCTTGGCCTTCTCCTCCTTCTCCAGCCATACTGCCTTCTTGGCCGCTGTTAGGAAAGGAGGGTGTAGTGGTTCTGAGTGACAGGTTTTCTCCAAAGGGCTTCCATAGTAGACCCTGGGTAGGTTTTTCTCCTCTTCTCTAAGACTTCCCCCCGCCCCCCCATCAAGTTGGAGAGCTCCCAGAACCCAGGCTCAGGCCTTAGAAAGAGGGTTTCCTGGAGCAGAGATCTCATGGTCTCAAAGTGAAGGAGAAATGAGGTCTTTAGTGTAAGATCCATGTGCTGGGCACCACACTTGCTGGACGAAGTTGTTTGTATTGTGATTATGGGCATGTGATTTGGAGAGAGCTGTGACTTCTAGTGTGTATCTTAGCTATTCTCTCAGTACTATGGCTCAGGCCAGTGATCCCATCTCTCCAGGCCTTGGTTTCCTCATCCTCAAGAGGGGCTGGTACCGCACGAGGCCTCTGAGAGGAATAAAATGAACTAGTGCAAGTGCTGCCCTAGCACAGAGCACACAGTGAGTGTTCCAGATGTGCTAGCTACTATTAGTAGGAGGCTGGTGGTATTGATGATGATTACGAAGAGGGTGATGGAGATGCTGCAGCTATTACTGCTTCCCAAACACTCACCCAGGTACTTGGCCCGCTCTTCCCGCCGCTCCTTTGCTAGCTTGTGTCTCTCTCCTGCTTTCTTCACATCTTGGCAGGGCAAACAAAGACAGACTTAGGTGAAAGGGCCTAACCCCATCTCTCTCCCCACCTCCTCCAGGGTCATGCAGGGCTGGGACAGGAACCCATGGAGTTGGGCCCAGGACTGGGGGTAGCACACACACCTTGCTTGGTAGGGGTGCTGTCAGAGGCTGGCACTGCTGTTGGAGATGGCTGGCTGCTCCTTCGAGGAGGCCTGGCGTCCCGTGGGCCTGTGGCTGGTGGAGTGGGTCCCCTGCTTTTCACTTCTGAGGGAGGGGACTCCTCTTGCAGGGGGACTGGCCCACGCTCGATCTGCCCTGGGGTACACTCTGGTTCCAGTGGGAGCTGCTTAGGGCTGGCAGGATTCTTCATGGCAGGAGGGGTGTCCGGGGGAGTGTCAGGAATGAGGGTTGACATTGGTGGTGGTGGTGGTGGTGGGAATGGGTCACCTTCTGGAGAAGGTCTTGGCTCTGGAGGGATCCTGGCTGCCATATCTGGAAGACCAATACAAGAGAGGGTCAGACTGTATGACTGTGCAGTGAGTTGCCGATCTCCCTTGTCCAAAGGACTTATTCCTTCATTCATGTATGTTTGTTGAGTTTCTTCTACATGTGATAAAATGGTGAGAATACAGCCATGGTCCCAGCTTTTTAGAAGCCTACCCCTCTAGCAGGGCAGATAGACTAGTAGGCAGGCAATTATAGGCAACCTGTATTTGAGGAGGAGTCCTGGTGTGGCGCTTGGGTTAATGCGCCAGACTGAAAAGCCATTTGAACTGCAAGGTCGGTGGTTCAAGCTCATCAGCTGCTCCATGGAAACCCTATAGAGGGTTGCTATGGGTCGGAACCGACTCAACAGCACTTCACAACAACAGTAACATATTTGAGGAACTTCCTGAAGAAGTGACAACCAAGCTGAGACCTGGAGATGAGCTGGATTTGGCAAAGCAAGGAGGAAAGGGCTGAGGATTTCTGGCAAAGAGAAGAACATATGCAGAGGCCCTGGGGAGGAAGAAAGGAAGGTGCATTGAAAGAACTGAGAAAGAGTTTGTGGCACTTTTTGTTATTTATTTTCCCTCTTAATTTAACAATTTATAAACATTTTGTTTTGTGACATTGGTTGTAATCTCCACAAAGGAACAGCACTCTTTCTACTTCTTACCTGGGTTCCCATTTGCATTTGTCCTTCTTTCCTGTCCCTTCCTGCCTTCTGAGCTTTGTTTGGGGGCAAATGCTGCCCTTTGGGTCTCATGTGGTTGATTGTTCTTAGGAGGATGTTCCATGCTGGTGTTACTGTTTACTTTCTAGGTCTGGCTGGCTCTTAGGAGTTCCACCAGTCTCAGACCAGTAAGTCTGGTCTGGTCTTACGATTTTGAATTTTCTTCTAATTCTTTTTTCCCTCCCACTCTGTCCTTCTATTGTGACATCTATCCGAGCAGTCAATAATGGCAGCTGGACACCATCTAGTTTTTTTTTGGCCTAGACTGGTGGAAGTTCTGGGTCATGTAGTCCATTAGTCCTTTAGACCAATTGTTCGTTTGAATCTTTGAGTTACTCACTCTTCCTTACTCTGGATGGGGAGAGACCAATAGTTGAATCTTACATGGTCGCTCAGAAGCTCTTAAGATCACAGTCAGTACTCACTAGGCTGTAGGATATAGAACATTGTCTTTGTGGACTGTGTTATATTGTGGCATTTATTAATACGCCAAATGGTAACTCTTTGTTTTCATGTCTGCCTCCCACACCTCTCTGCTTTACCTTTGGACCGCAGTGCCCAATCCAGGGCCCAGAGCACAGAGATACTTGTGTGCTCTCAGATAGGTCTGACCAAAAGGAAGGATTTAAATTTAGGCACAAGTGTGATGCCTGTGTTGCTAAGATCTCCAGTGGGGAGGGCAACTTTGTAACAAATCTCACTTAAAAGATTTCTTCTTTTAAGACACCAATATTCCAGAGACCCTGAAAAAGGCACCAAAGTACCAAGTAAGGAAGTCACATCATTTGGTGTCTACACATGTATACGTCTACTCGTGGGACAAGTTTTGGAGTCAGTCAAATGAGGGCCCCATTCTGATCTCATTACCCCAAAGCAGGACTGCAGGGCCTGATTCTTAGCAAGGTCACTTTGGACAAGGCAGTCAATTTGAGTGTCAGTTTTCATCTGTATAATGGGGATGCTGTGCCCACGTCAGTAGGAATGAATGTCAGCAGAGTGCCTGACACAGTGTGGGGCACAATTCACTTTCCCTGTGGGTCTTCTGAAGTTGCCAGGTCTCCCAAAAGGAAGCCTCTTCATGTTGAGTGCTGGTATCATTCACTGAGGGCACATGGCCATTGAGTAGGGCTTAGGGAGCAGGGGTCAGGGTGGGCCTGTGCTCTCTCTGGTATCTCCACCACACTGGCTCTGGGAACTCTGGTCCCTTTAGGAGGTGGAAGAGGCATACCTGAGGGGTTACCCTTGGGCTCTGAAGTCAGACTGTTTGAGCATGAATTCTGGCTTCCCCTCAGACTTTCTGTGCAATAGTTAGAGGTCTACGATGCAGAGAAAATAGTACCTGTGGTGGATATTAGTCATAATAATAACCATAAACACTTATGAGGGGCTTCAAAAAGTTCATGGAAAATGGAATGAAAAGATAATGGACTTTTCCATGAACTTATTGAAGCCCCCTCATATATATTTATTGCAAGCTTCCTGTGCTCAAAGCATTTCATACATATTAGTTTTTTTTTTTCATTCTCACTGGCAATACATATAAAGGAAGTATCATAAATATTTCTCTTGTACAGATGAGAAAGTAAAGCAAAAAGAGATTAAGTAATCTGAGGTCGCTCAGCTGGTAAGTGAAGGAGCCTGGATTTGAACCCAGGTATCTGTCACCAGAGCCCAGCTCATACCCTGTATGTGCTCCAGCTTTCTGTTTAAGGCAGTAAATGAGGTAATACATATTATGTAATGAAATGACCTAAGGCTCACACTATTTGCCTCCCATTCCTTCCCTTCCAGCTTCCTGGGCTCTAGACAAAAGTCCCAGCTGAGAGGTCTTCCCTCCCCATTGGTTCCTCCAACTCTGACAGCCTCTAGGCTTTGTGACCGTCTAACCAGTTCTCCCCATACAAACTTGAGACAGCTACCTGCTCACTGACAGTCTATTTCCCAGCTAGCTGTAAACTCCTTTGCCAACTCTAATGGGCAGTGAAACTAATGGTAACCATTTGCTGAGTGCCTGCTACTTGCTGGGAACTGAGGTAAGCCCTTTGTATTGCCATCCTGCATCCTTATAACAACTCTGAAAGGCAGAGTTTCTCATCCCCATTTTACAGAGAGGCAATTGAGACTCACCCTGCTAAGTGATTTGCTCAGAGCCACAGACTAGTATGTGGCAGAGTCATGGATTTGAACCCAGAACTGTCTGGGGCCAAAGCCTGGGTGTGTTTAAGTACTAAGCTTTCAGGTTCAGGGTGAGGTCTGTTTATCACCATTCTCCTAGCACCTGTGCATGCTGTGGGTGTCGCAAGGAAAACTAGTAGGCGAGTGTTTGTCTACACCTAGGCAAATCACACCCAACAGGCAAGACAGTGAATCCCCAATTAGGTCTCAATTAGCCATCTAAAGGGGGTCTGGGAAGAGGTAGAGAGAGTGGGACTTCCTAGAAGGACATTCTATGGAGTTGTACAAAGTTTTTCAGTTTCAAAGTCAGGCAGACCAGAGTAGAGATCCCAGCTCAGCTGTGGGAACTTGGAGAAGCCCTGAACCTTCTGAGTCTCAATTTCCTCCCTGAGTTGTAGGTAGGCCACCTCAGGCATCTGGCAGGGGTTCAGTGAGCAGCAGCTGCCCTGAAGGCTATGTCCACATCTCCCTACCTCTGCTACAGATCGCGTTTCAGTCAGGCCTTCACCTCCATCACTCCATGGAACTGCTTCTTAAGGTCACCCATGAACGTCCAATAGCCATTTCTCAGTACTTGACCCATCAGCAGCATTCGACACTGTTGGTCTCTTGGTGCCTGCTCCTTGAAAACACTTTTCTTCACTTGGGTTTGAAGACAACACACTCTCCTGATTTTCCTTTTTCCTGGCTGGCTGCTACTTCTCTGGCTTCTTTGGTGGCCCCACCTTAATTTCCTAACTTCTTAAACTGGTGTGCCTCAGGGCTCAGTCCAGGACCTCGGCTGTCTTTTCTGTCTATTCTCACTCCCTTGGTGATCTCATCCAGACTCACGGCTTTAAATACCAGTGCTCTGCTGATGACAAGCAAATGTGTACCTCCTGCCCAGACCTCTCCCTAGAGTTCCAGTTTCATTCACGCAACTCCCTACTTGACACTCCTGAGTGTACGACCTCCCAAATGTAACACATCCCAAACTGATATCCTGATCTTTAAAAAAAAACAAAACAAAACAAAAACCAACAACCTGGCCCCCACCCCCAATTTCCCTTGTCACAGTTAATGGTAGCCTTCCTGTTTCTCAGGCCAAAAAACTGGCAATCATTTTAGAGTCTAGCCTCACACCCCACCCACATCTTATCTCTCAGCAAATCCTTTTGGCTTTATCTTCAAAATATATCCCAATTTCACTTACTTCTTACTATATCCATTTCTACCATCTTGGTCTAAACCACTGTAAGCTCTTGTTAAAGACTCCCTACTCCCTTTCTTAAGGAGCTCTGATAGTGTAGTGGTTACGAGTTGGACTGCTAACCTCAGGGTCAGCAGTTCGAAACTACCAGCTGTTCTGTGGGAGAAAGAGGAGGCTTTCTGCTCCTGTAAAGATTTACACCCTCGGAAACCCTGTACAGGTCACAATGAGTCGGAATCGACTCCACGACACATAACCACCCCCACCTGGACTCCCTTTCTTTGTTCTCCTTTGGTCTCTTATCAATACAGCAGCCTGAGTGAGTCTATTTAAAAATAAGTCAGATATGTCAATCCTATGCCAAAATCCTCCAAAGACTCCTCATCTCACAGCGAGTCCTCACAATGGCCTGTGAGGCCATTCCTCTTGGGTTTCCTCTCCCCCCTGCTCAGTCTCCTCCAGACACACTGGCCTCCTCGCTCCTCCTTAAGCATGTCAAGCACGGCTCCTGGCTCCAGGCTTTGCACTTGTTCTGTCTGCTGAGAATTCTCCGCTCCCAGATACTGTAAGACTCACTACTCCCTCACCTCGAATGTCCCCTTCTTTACTCTAATGGACAAGTATCCATGAAGCCTTCCCTGACCCCTTATTTTAAACTATACACCATAACTGAACTCTCTGTTCCCTCTCCAACTGCATTTTTTTCTTCCCCGCTCTCATTTTCTCTCTAAGTGTAGCACTGTGTTTGCACCACCTCCCACCACACAAACCCAGTCTCCAAGAGGACACAGATTTTTGTCTATCCTTTTAGTTGTGGAATCCCTAGGGCCAACAGACCTTGGTATGTAGGTGCTCCCCAGCTATTTGTTGAATGAAACAATGAAGGCGCGCCACCTGGCAGAGCAGCAGC